AGAGTACCTTCTTAAGCCGTAGTGAATCATCATTATTTAGCTGAGTAAAAAGTATTAATTTATGAGTCACAGAACCCAACAGAGTGTCATGCACCCAGTGAGTACTCAGTGAATGTCATTTGGGGATGGTCATTCCATTTTATAGATGAAAAAATCTGAATTAGAGAAATAGAACCCCTTGAATCACCCTGGTACAATCATGCAGTGTGGTACAGTAGAGAGTGCTGGATTTGAAGCCAGAGGAGCTGAGTTCTAATTCTGTCACTGCTCCTTATTACCTGTGTGACCTTGTGCAAGTAATGGAATCTCTCTGGGCCTCAGTTTCCTCAATCTGTTAAATGAGAGAGCTGGAATAGATGGCCATGCAGGTTCCTTCCAGCTCTAAAGCTGTGAACATGCAATTTTCTTAGTTGGTGATAGAATTAGGACTAAATGAATGTGATTCTCCTGACTCACATTGAAATTTATTTAATTTCAAGTAGTGAGTCCCCTGTCACTGGAAGTATGCATGGCCTCTTATCAATGATATTGTAGAGGGGATATCTTCATGGTTCTGGCGTGGGTTAAAGTGAATACTCTCCCTCCTCATCTCTGCCTCCTGGCTTCCCTAGCCTTCCTTCAAGCCCCAGCTTCTCCAGGAAGCCTTTCCCAACCTTTCTTAATTCTAATGCCTTTCATCTGCTAATTGTTTCTGGTTTATTCTGTGTGTAACTTGTTTGTACGTAATTGTTTGCATATTGTCTCCCCCATTAGACTGTGAGCTCCTTAAGAGCAAGGACTACCTTTTTTTTTTTTAACATTCACCTTCTATAAAATTTTGAGTCCCAAATTTTCTCCCTCCCTCCTTTCCCCCCTCTGTAAGATGGTAAGCAATCTGACATAGGTTATATATGTGCAATCATGTAAAACATATTTCTGTATTAGTCATGTTGTGAAAGAAGAAACAGTTTGCAAAAAAAAAATTACAGTTTGTAAAAGGAAAAAAACACAAAAAAGTGAAAATAGTATGCTTCAGTATGCATTCAGATGCCATCAGTTCTTTCTCTGGATATGGACAGCATTTTCCATCATGAGTCTTTTAGAATTGTCCTGGATCATTGTATTGCTGAGAAGAACCAAGTCTATCATAGTTGATGACTGCACAATGTTGCTGTTACTGTGTACAATGTTCTTCTGGTTCTGCTCCCTTCACTTTGCATCAGTTCACATAAGTCTTTCCAGGTTTTTCTGAAATCTGCTGAGCAGGGACTGTCTTATGCCTTACTTTGTATCCCTGATGCTTAGAATAGTGCCTGGCACATCGTGTGCACTTAATAAATCTTTATTGACTGACTGGATAGAGAGCTGACTTTGATTCCAGGAAGACTTGGGTTCAAATCTTGACTCTGACATATACTAGCAATATGTGACCCTAGCCAAGTCACAACCTCTCGGTGCTCGAGGCAACTTTACAAGACTTTATGTTGCTGAAAAGGAGCCAACCTTTCTATCCATATTAGCAGAGAGAGTTTTCTCACCTGGAAGTTCACTATACCAAGGAAATAGCAGGCCAGTCCTATCCCAATTAAGCATCTACAAGGTAGAGAACACTCTTCTAAGAACTAGGATTATATACACACACACACACACACACACACACACACACACACACACACACACATATACACACACACACACATATATAGATATAGATATATACCTCAATTTTTCCTCTTTGGGTGCAAAGATGTTCATTCTTTTAAAAATGTTTAAGAAGAAAAAAGATGAAATAGTCCAGTCCCCCTTCAAGTCCACTTTTGTCCCCCAGACATTTTCTATACAAGAGGCTGAGTGTAAAACTTCAAGTATTAAAATAGTTTGTACATGTAGAAAGAACAGCAGCAAAGTTATCAGACTATCCAGGGGCAGCTGCCACATGGATGTAGGCTATATATTGTGGTTTTGCTTCTTGAAAGAATTTTTTTTTGTTATTTTTACATCTAACAAAGAAAAAACCAAAAAAAAAGAGGGTAAAAATTCCAAGGCGATGATCTTAACATGCAAAGATGTCCCTGGGATTTCTTCTTTACACTTATTTTCTTTCCCCTCTCCTTCCCTCCCGCTTACATTTTCTGTAAAACTTGAAAATAGAAAGCAAAAAAAACCCCTCAAATGTTGTAAATCGTGCAATTAAAGTTGATTACCTATAAATGTGAACTTTTGATCACTGTATAGAACTGTTAAAATTGATTTCTTATTACCCATTGTTAAATAAACTCTGTGAGACAGACAAAAAAAAAGAACTAGGATGGATACAAAGTTGAAATAAGATACAGACTTCTGCCCTCAAGGAACATATAATCAAGTATCTAGATAAAGTGAAATATGTATGCTCCTACCCAGAGATGCTAATTTTGTTTAAAAAAAAAAGTAGCAGAGTCTAAAGTTACATAGCCATCCTTAAGAAGGCCTTTCAGTCAGTTGTTACCATCACCGTTGACTTGAAAAGCCGTTCAGTATTTGGCACTTCCAAATTTAAGATTTAGTCATTTTTTAAGGGCAGCTAGGTGGTACAGAGGATAGAGTTCTGGGCCTGAAATCAGGAAGACTCAGATTCTTGAGTTCAAATCTGGCCTAAGACACTTACTAGCTGTGTTACCCTGGGCAAGTCAACCCTGTCTGCCTCAGTTCCTCAGTCTGTAAAAAGAGCTAGAAAAGGAAGTAGCAACATCTGACATGACTGAACAACATTTTTATTTGAAAAAAAAAAGCACACCATTAATTAGATAACTATACTGGTATATAGAATAACATACACAAAACACACACACACACACACACACACACACACACATATACACACACACACATTTTAAGAAGAAAATAAAAACACCTGTCTCTTTGTCTATAAAAATAATAGGTTTAGACTGACGCTGAGTGAAGTGAGCAGAGCCAGAAGTAACAGTCAGGAGTAACAGTAACAGTCAGGTTGACTGACAATGACTAACTTTGATAGACTTAACCCTTCTCAGCAATACAAGATCTAAGACATCTCCAAAAGTCTCATGATGGAAAATGCTATCTACATACGAAGAAAGAACTATGGAGTTTGGATGCAGATCGGGGCATACTATTTGCAGTTTTTTTTCTTGTTTTGTTTTCTTTTGTTTCCTCTTTCTTGTGGTTCCTTCTATTGGTTCCTTACAACATGACTAATGTGAAAATATGTTTAATAGGAATGTATATCTATAGCCTATATCAGATTATCTGCCGTCTTAGGGAAGGAAGTGGGAGAAAAATTTAAAACTTAAAAGCTTATGGAAGTGATTGTTGATAAATCAAAATAAATTAATAAAAAATAAAAATAATAGGTTTAGACTAGACCATCTCAAAAGTTTCTTCCAGCTTTAACATTCTCAGTTTTTCTTGAGTAATCTATCCCTTTTCCTTAAAAAAAAAAAAAAACCACCAACAGTTTCACTGCCTCAGAAGTCTTATCTCAGCCAAGAAGAACTTAAGAATAAATTAAAGAAACCAATTTACCATCAATTCAAAAAGGAAGAAGGGACAGCTAGTCAGCACTCATGCCCTTATTTCTGCCTAGGTACATGTCACCTCATTCCTTACTACTTTCCACCTGCCATTACCCTCAATGGGAACTCCTGCCTTGTGAGGAAATTCAAGCAGTGTGCATTGGCTACGGAAGCTGCCAGGTCCTTTTTCTTTAGACTAAAGGGAAGTTCCAAATTTCCAAAACTGAGACTTGAAAACTTAAATACAAACACATTTAAAACACTTTTAAAATAATTCACAAATCATTTTCCATTTCCTTCCCTCTCTCACAAACAGCCAACATTTTTGGTGGCCTCCTTCAAAGTAGTCTTTTGCTTTAACGTCCTCTACTAGAGAAATATCAAAAGAAAGAGATTCTAGTTAACTTTACCACTGACTGTTGTATAACTCGGAGTGACTCACTGTTCTTTGGTTAATGGGGCTGAAGATTTCAAATACAAATGAAAGTTGCTGACGATGATGCTGGTGGCATGATCTTCCCCAACATGTCCATTCCTGTTTCAGAGTGAAAATATCAGGAAAAGAGGGATAATTACAAGAAAACATATAGTATTGAAAAGTCCAAAGAACTTAATTTTTATATTCTGGCAGTTTTTCCTAGATGAGTAAAATATAAATTGATTATAAAGAGCATCTCAACTACAAAGTTTGAAGGTGAGAGTGAAAGGGCTGGCGTTTAAGCCTGGGCACAAGAAAGCTTCAATAGGCTCTTAGCTGTCAAAGCATTCATAAAAGGTCATTTTTCAACAGTTATTATGAAGCGGCTTGGTATTAACTTGGAGAGAAAGCTAATCTCACCCTAAAGCTGGGTTCATAGCCTTTTCAGTCAAGGTTTTTGTTCAGTGCTCCTTAGGACTCTATCAGGATTCAAGCTAAGTCTTTATTGATTTTGGCACCAGAAGCTAGGTGTTCTGTATGTGTGTTGGGGGTGAAAGGGAGGAGGTGGATGGCAGAGCCTACTGTCAGTTTGGGGAGTCAAGATTTGCCCAAAGGACATAACCGAAAAAATAATCCAAGTAATCACCACCAGTTAAGGAATGTCCATTATCATGTTAGATATGAGCCTAGCATAGTGAATTCAGCAGCCTTGAACAGACTGAACTGAATTGAATGTTAACCTGAAATAATTTTTGATATTTTGTTATGGCTTGGTTTTATTTGTTTTTTGGTGTGTTTTCAACACAAATATATTAGCTCATTTTCATAGAATGCCAGAGCTGGAAGGAGCCATGAAGATCATTGACACCAACTGTCTCATTTTAGAGATAAGCAACTTTGAACCCCCACAAGGATGGTGATTCACTTAAGGTCGTATGGACAGTGGCAAGGAAGAGCTAAAAGCTGTGGTTTCTGGGGCCTTCCAACCACAGCTCTTTCTACTCACCAGTTTGTCATTCATAATAACTTGAAACGATTTCATTTCACCTGGTGCATTTCCTCTTTTTCAGCTGTATTACAAAGAGCCGGATATCCTGTCATTCTGCAGCAGATAGATGATTGGAATGCCCTAGAGCTCATGGTGAACGGTGAAATTGTTTTTCAGTGCAAAATTAGCGACTTGGACTTTGGTAAGTCCCCAGTCAAGACCTAGAGAGCCATTTTCCCTCTTGAAGATCGCCTCTGTATTTATTAACATGGAAATAAGGGCAGCGTTTCCTACTTCAGCATAAGTGAAGGGTCACTCAGTGTATTTTAAAATCAATGCCAAATTCAAGTGCTTTTGTCACATTGCCAGCACTTCAAAGCCATAATGCATTACAAGCACTCAGAACAGAGGGATAGGAGCTGGGAGGTATCTTAGAGTTCCAACTTCTTTGTTTTATACTGAAAGGAAAAGTCAATTGCCCAAAGTCATTCAATGAGCTTTAGTAGTGGGCAGAGCTGGGACTAGAATATTATGGTCTCCTAACTCCTAAACTGAGGCTCTTTCTACTACAGCCTACTATGAGTTGCAGTGATTTCTTCCAGAATAATAGAAATCTAAGAGTTATTTTTAATGCTGTCTTTAAAAAAACAAAACAATCTCAGTTTATGTGTGAAGACTTCAGATGATTAGTATTGTATTCCCATTCCTATCCTCTCAGATATCCACCAATCAAAATCATCTTAATTATTATCATAACTAGCATTGATATAGCATGGCATTGTACTAGGCACTTTATAAATATTAGCTCATTTGATCCTCATAACAACCCTGGGAGGTAGGTTTTATTTATCCCTGAGGCTAGGCTGCCTCCCGTGATGCCCCTTAGTACTTATGGTACCCACTCTAGCCTATGGCTCAGTGCCTTGCACGTAGTAGGAACTCAATAAACATTTGTTAAACTGACTCTGGCCTCCAGAGGTATAAGTCCATTTGAAAAGCATAACAAGGTTTGCTAGGATAATTAAAGGCAATATTCCAAGGAATATTCTATTATAAACTCAATTGAAGGACTTATTCTAACATCAGAGATTACTTCTAAAGAAATTCTGTCCCAAGACTACATGTGGCCAAACTTAGTCATTTCTCAGTGTCATGAGCTGAATTTAGAACTTTGGCAGTCTCACTAGTGATCCTGCTAAAGATTAGTAAGTACTACATTCATCCTTCTAATTATTTTTAGAAATCCCTTTGTAAGAGAATTTAAACGGTTTAATAAAATAATACTGAACCGTGTAGAAAATTAACCGACTGAATTTTTTTTTCCCCTAGGAGGTGATGGCAAATTAGATCCACTGTGTGAAAAGGCCAAGCTAGCAGTGCTATATGCCTACTAATGAAACTGCCATATTTCCCCATCCATGAGCATCCCTCTTGGCTTGGAGTGATTCCTAACCCCTCGAATGGCAGAAAACAGATAGTTTGATTGTGGAGATAAAAACAACTCACTTGGCACTTGTGAAGCTGCAGGATGTGGTTTAGTCTCTGGACGATCCTAGGTTGTGCAAAAGAACTGAAGAACTTGGTGCAAAGTGTTTCTAACCGGCTACTGGGAAACCCAGTACATCCATCTCACACCACAAATAATAATAATAATGATGATAAAAGCATTGTGCCTCTTGCAGAATCTCTCAACCCTGACCTGTAGGGAGAATGGCTACAATTGTGGACTACAAAGTCTATCAACTGTAGCATTGAGCTGAAGGAAAATAATTAAATACTGTCTAATAACAGCAACCCCATCTCCCAATGATAATGTTTAGTTGCCAGCAGCTGTGAAGAATCCAGTCCATAGTAAGGAAGAAACTGGACAAGTATAAAAATGAAAGATTTTTGAAGCTAGAATTTAGTTCTTTGAAAGTCTAAACATAAAACTCAGAATTCTGAGATACTCCTTTTGCCCCTACAGATTTAATTTAGGGTCAGATGGTGAAGGACCTTTTAATACCAGGCTATGTAGTTTGGAATTTATTTGGTAGGTAATAAGGAGGTTTTAAGCAAAAAAAAAAAACATGATCAAAGCAGTTCCATAGGAAGATTTGGTGGGATACAAAATGTACCCCAGATTTGGTGGTAGTAGTGTACAGAGTACATTGCAGATAAGAGAAATTAGAGACAGGACCATGTAAAAGGCTATTATAATTGTCTAAGCATGAGGTAATAGGGGGAGAACTAGGGCAGTTGTAGTGGATATAGAAGGAAAGGGTACATATGAGAGAAATTATGAAGGAAGAATTTATAAGGCTTGGTATCTAATAAAATATGAAGGCCAACATGTTAGGAAATTCAGGGAAATGTTTTTATGACTGGGATTTGGGGACTCTCTAGGGTTGATCAGTCCCCACAGATTAAAAGGTAAGGTCTGAAGATGGTGGGCATATAAGAGTCAGCATAAGTTTATCACTCCCTAGGTTTGAGTCATGGAGGCCAGTCTGCTCCAGAAAGACATTAGCCAGAGGAACTGTCTTCTTCCTATAATACGTTTAACATGTGTTCATATTGCAAAATAACCAACTCCCTGCTCTCATTGGCCGTCTCACAGTACAGAATTCCTGCATTAATCTGGGCCACTTTTGCTTTGGAACCTCAGCCATTATCTTTGTACTCCAAGTCTTTACTTCTCCTAGACACCAACTTTGCCTTTGGAAGAGTGTGACTAGGGTTACAAGTTTTTGAAGGGCTGACATGTGTAAGGAAGGGTCAGATTTGTTCTGCTTGGCCCCAGAGGAGAGATGGGTACAGGCTGCCAAGAGGCAGATTTAGGCTTCGTGTTAGGGAAAGCTTCCTAACAATTAGACCTCTCCAAAAGCAGAATGTGTGGCCTCAAGAAATCAAAGATTCGTATCACCAAGGGGAGGGGAGCTGCTCTTTAGAATGCTTTGGACTAGAGGACCTCTGATGTCTTTCCCTTCCAACTCTGAGATCCTGGAATAATTGAATTAGTAATGTAAAATTATCTAAAATTAATCTGTCAGCTAAAACAAGAAAATTACACGCTTTAGGTCATTACTACAAGCAAGCAGGTGTCTTAGAAGGGGAAAACTGAAAAGATCCATAAGAGGAAGAATTGGAAACATAACAAATCTTATTCTTTCTTTAGGGAAAATAACAACTAAAATGTGGCAACAAATGTGGAATGAACAAAGATTTGATATATAGTTAGTGTAGAAAATAATCATACCAAGAATGTTTTGTTTGTTACCATTTTGGAATCATGCACTAATTCTGAAATTAATGTCCATAGGCATTTAGTCAAGTGAGCTGTTTTACCCATGGACTTCAAATTACTTTAGGAATATTTAGAAACACATAATTCTTTTTCTAGTGGGGGAAACTGAGGCTCAGAAAAATGCAGTATTCTTTAGTTCTCATTTCCAGTTTTGTATAATGTGCAAATTTGATAAGCATACCACCTGGCTTCATCCAAGGCCTTAATAAAAATATTTATTTGAACAGGGCCAAAGACAGAGTCCTAAAGCATCCTACTAGAAATCTTCCTTGGGACTTGTATCAATATTCAGTTGATTCTTTCATTCAACCAGTTCTAAATCTACCTCATTAAATGATTGCTTGTCACTTCTTTAATACTGTTTGATATCCTGATGGGTTTTATTAAATGCTTCATTAAAATTCAGGTATACTTTTGTGACACTTTTCTTCTAATGATTATGTGAGGCCTTTTCTGATTTTCCCATTTTTTAATGCCTTCCCCTCAATATTACTTTGTATATCGTGTATGGTTTCTTTTTACTCTCATTGTACATGTTGTTTACTTACCACCTCCCTGAATAGAATATAGGCTCCTTGAGGGCAGGAGTTGTTTTGGTTTTGTATATCTGGGGTACAGTAAGCACTTAATAAATGTGGAAAGAATGAGGGGAATCTAGTGTGGTTAATAGTGCTTGTTACTTCCCTAAGTGCTCCCAATCTACCCCATTACTAATTCATTCTCAAATTTTTTAAATAGTGATTTTATAGTTTGAAAAATTCCACTTTAGTTTCCCTTTTGAAAATTGGTATAGCATTTGCTTATCTTCAGTCCCATGTTATCTCTCCTGTACTCCATGACTTCCTCAAAAATGTCTGACAAATGCGTTCCTGGAGTATATTTTCAGGGTGTTGGATATCATTTGGCTGGGTCAGGTGACTTGAAGTCGTTAAGAATGGCTTGAGCCTCTCTCACTGCCCATCCCCTTCCTCATTTATCCTGAGTTTCAATTATCTCTTAATGATTTCAGTTCCATCCTCATTCTGAACATCATTCTCTTTGTGAGAGAAGTGAGCTATAAACTGAGTGGTTCCACCTCTTTGGGTCAGCTGTTCTTATCAGCCTGCCCACCCCCAGCCACGGCTCATTCTCTTTCCTGACCTTATCGTGGCCTCCCAAGTGTGCCCTCCAAAGGGGGCATCGCTAGCTCGTTCTGGTGTCTGTAAGCTTAAAATTAAACCCTGCCACGTATTGTACTCGGGTGCACCCCACCCCATCCATTCAGCTTTAATTAGCGACCCCATCATGAGCTTGCTCCCTTCCACCATTTCCCGTGACTCCAGGGACTTGCTCTCCATTTCACATCTTTTTTATTAAACCCTCTAGCGTGTGCAATTGAAAAACAACATATGATTGCTGAAAGCTTTTAAGCCAGAATGGGTTTGGCAGAAGTCCCTAGGTTCTCAGTCTGGCTCCCTATCTAACCTCAAGTCACAGCGGTCACTGGATCCTGTCACTCCTGAAAGGAACTTCAGCGCCCTTCCATTTCAACTTCACTATCTTACGAATGAGGAAACTGAGGCCCACAGAAATTATGTGACCTGTAAGCCTCAAAGGTGGGATATGAACCGAGATCCTCTGACTCCAGAGGCAGTGTTCTTCCCATTCTCAGTCTATCTATGATTCATCGCCCATCTCTCATAAACGAGGTTGCTTGAAAAACTCCAGCACATGCAGAAGATTTGATCTGACAGTAGAATTATTTTCAGCCTCTTTCCCTACTAATGTCTAAATAAGCCTTGATGCCAAGAGACACATCAATCTGCATGAAGGTTGTTCAAAAATTGAGTTTTCAAGACTAATTTGCAGAGTATTCCCCATTGTACAATTGTGTGGTTGGTCATTAATACCATAGTTTTTTCATTCACTCATTCTTTTGTTAGGCATGTGCAACAATATTGTAACTCTCTGACTTAGGATACCCTTAATTTAAAAGGACAGCTTTCCTAGACCTGAAGATGAAGTGCCTGTGGTTCTTGGATTTTTCTTCTAATTTTTATTGCTATCTTCTGGCGTTACATCACTCTCCTTTTCCAGTACATCCATTGTCCTTCCCCCACGCAGAAAGCCATTCTTCATAACAAAGAATAAAAAACAAAGAGGGGAAAAAAGCAGTTTTCCAAAACTGGCCATTACAACAATCAGTTCCAACAGTATATGGAGTGTTCAATAGCCAGAGTCCCCCAAATCTAACAAGAGAGGAGGGGTGTTTGTGCTCATATATCTTCTTTAAGCCAAACTTACATAGTGTTCACTTTCAAATTTTTGTTCTCGTTCTTCCCACTTGTGAGAAGCAGTGTGTTGTAATGGCTAGAGAGCCGGCCAGGAAGACCTGGATTCAAGTTTTGCCTCTAACATTTGCTGATTGTTTGACCCTGGGCAAGAACCTTAACCTTCTAGTGCCCTAGACCAGCAGTTTGCAAACTTTTTGGTCTCAGAAACCCTTTATGCTCTTAAAAACACCCTTTATGCAGTGTTTTTATTTGGGTGATATCTATCAATATATTTTGTTGTTGTTCAGTCGTTTCAGTCATGTCCAACTTTTTCATGACCCCATTGGGGCTTTCTTGACAAAGATACTGGAATGGTTTGCTATTTCCTTCTCCAGATCATTTTGCAGATGAACAACTGTGGCAAACCAGGTTAAGTGACTTGCTGGGGGGTCACACAATCTAGAAGTGTCTGCAGCCAGATCTGAACTCAGGAAGATGAGTCTTCCTGACTCCAGCTCCAGCACTCCATCCTCTGTACCACCTAGCTGCCCAATATTTGGCATATTAGAAATTAAAATATCTTAGTATTATTACAAAAATCATCTTTACTTCATGGATTCCATAAGGGCCTCAGGGTTCCCCGGGCATCCCTGGACCATGCTTTGAGAACTGCTGCCCTAGATAACTCTCATAACACTGTAAGTTACATAGAAGGAGTCAAGCCCTATTACTGTGTTAGTTTAGACAGTCTTCACTTGAGAGTTCCCTGTATCAATGAAATCAAAGGTCCAGTCCCTATCCCTTTATTTCCTTTTATATTGCTTTTGTCATCATTCATATTGTTTTCCTGGTTTTTCTTACTTCACTTTGCATCAGTTCATAAAATTCTTCTCAGACTTCTCTGTATTCTTAAGTGACTTGCCCACTCTTCAAATTCAGTTCTTTTTATGGCACAATAATATTATGTCATGTTCACGTGCCAAAATTTGTTTAGCCATTCCCCAATTGACTTTGTTTCCAATTCTTAACTACTACAGAAAGTATTGCTATAAATATTTTGGTGATCTTTGTTTTTTTAAATTTCAAAAATACTTTTACTGGAGAAATTCATCATTAAGTTATTGAGCTCTAAGATGAACTTAGCACTTAGCACAGTGCCTGGTACATAGTAAATGCTATATAAATATTTATTATGAAATCTAAGTTAAACCCAGTACACAGAGGAAGGGAGAGGAATCACAAATACACAGAAAGAGAAACTGAGGAATGGCAGAAAGGGCTATCGCTGCTAAACTTTCCCTATTCAGGCTGAGAGGAGAGTCCCATAGGCAGAGGGTCAATCACTAAACTCTTAACCTTCTCCCTTCCCCTCCTCCACAGTGTCCTCTGTACTAACTTGGATCCTTAAGGCACCAGGATAAGAGCCAAGATAGAGCTGGCTCAATAGGAGATGATTTAACTTTATGTAATTTAGAAGGGAGTGATGGAGGGTAGACTGAGGAACCATAGTTGTGCCAGAAAGTGGCCCTCTGTGCCCTTGGTTTCCTTCATGGCCTGGATCAACTGTGACCTCTATGAAACCTTTCCAATCCACTCCACTTACACACACACAAGAGTGAATTGCTAAATTTTCAGTGCGAGCATTTACACCTTAGAAATCAGCAAATGCTACAAATCAGGACTTGATTTGTTTTGTTGATTGTCTAGACTTAAGAAAGTGATGGAGAAAATGTTCATAGTGCAAATTAAACGTAAAAATGTGTCATACCTACATTTTTTCCCAGAGACCTAATAGTCAACATTTCCAGGCACACCACTACCCCCAACTCTTCTTTGAACTCTCAAAGAGCTTGATCTGTATTTTTCTTTGCATTTGCCGTATTCTGTTTTGGATTGTAATTATACCCCCTCTCATCCTTCTTGCCAGATTGTGAGCCCAAGACTGAAGTCAGGGGCACATCTTAGTTATCTTTGTAACCTATTCACTTTGTAACCCTCTGTCTACAAAAGTAGCCAATTTTACTTTAGGATAATATTTGTTATCCTAACACATTGTTGGGATAAGTTTTGGTTGTTCAGCTATGTCCAACTCTTCCTGACTCCATTTGGGGTTTTCTTGGAAAAGATACTGGAGTAGTTTGCCATTTCCTTCTCCAGTTCATTTTACAAATGAAGAAACTGAGGCAAACAGGGTTAAATGACTTGCTCAAGGTCACACTGCTAAATCTTAGGCCAGATTTGAACTCAGGAAGATGATGAGTCTTCCTGACTCCAGGGGTGGCCCTGCATCCATTGCACTCCCCAGCTGCCCCGAGGGATAGCTTTTTACATCAAGACTAAATCTTTTTCTACTTCCACCCACTGCTCCCAGCTCTACCTTCTGGGGCCAAGCAGAAAAGTCTTTTCCATCTTCCAAGTCACCTTCAAAAATGTGAATATAGCTATCATGTCATCTCTGAAGCTGTCTTTTCTAGACTAATCACCCCCAAATCCTTCTGTTAATCCTCATATGGCATGTTCTTGAAATTGTTCAATATCTTGCTCTCCTTCCATTGGATACTTTCCAGCTTATCAACACCCACCCAAAAATAGAGTATCTAGCACTGAATAGAGTACTCCACATGAGGTCTGATCAGGGCACAGTACATTGGGCTTCAGTCTCGGACACCCTACTTCTCTTAATATAGCCAAAGATGGTCTTAGCTTGGCTGCCAGTTCATACTATAGCTTCATATTTGACTCCACTAAAACCCTCAGATCTTCTTCCTTCCTATTGTTTATGTACTCAGTAGAAATCACTGCTATATTTTGTCAAAGTATCATCCTATGATTTATAATTTTTTGTCTTTAATTATGTTTTTAGTTTTCTTAATGTTGAACCATCCTTGCATTCCTAGTATAAATCCAACCTGGTCATAGTGAGTAACTTTTAAAATACAAAGCTGTAGCCTCTTTGTTAATATTTGATTCCATGTTTTTTGGATTAATATTGATTAGCATTATTGGCTTTAAAACCCAACTTTTTTGTTTTATAACTTCAATAATCTTTGTCTTCAATTTTGTTTACTTTTCTTTTTAGTACAGTTTGTATTTCAAAGACTAATATTTTTTCTCAAAAAGAATGTTTAAAAATAATTCTGTTAAAAAGTTGATTTTTTTCTAGTATGATTCTTCTCAACTTTACAGAATAACTTTCCCTTGGCTGTAAGCTGTTTTCCTTTGCTTTTCCATATACCATATTACAATTTTTTTTTCTTTTATTTCTTCTTGTTGACAAATAGTCCTGAATGATTCCAATTTCAGCTCCCTGCTACAGAGACTCTTTCCAGCTGATT